AACCTTCTGCTGGTGGCATCTGACTCAGACGATGAAAACGAACATACGTCAGTCTGTTCTGCTTTGGATCGTTATCTAGCAGAACCCGTCATCAGCATGGACGCATGTCCTCTGGAATGGTGGTTGAAGGGACATATGAATCTTTAGCACATCTGGCATGTAAATGTCTTGCGATACCAGCTGCAACAGTGCCATCCGAACGCTTGTTCTCATTTTCAGGTGACATTGTAAACAAGAAGCGAGCAGCATTGTCTCCTGCAAATTGTAACCAAACTTGTTTGTCTGAGCGATTAACTGAAGTGTAGGACTCAGTGGACTTGTAGCCTCTAAAGTTATACATTGTTTTATTTTTGAATGCATTTTTTTGTACACAGTTCTAAATTTGTAAGTTTAACTTTCATGGTAAAGAGATAGCACTACAGTACTTGCATTAGGAGAATTAATATAATTTCTTTTTTTATAGTGCAAATATTTGTAATCAAAAATAAATATAAAGTGAGCACTGTACACTTTGTATTCTGTGTTGTAATAGAAATCAATATATTTGAAAATGTAGAAAACATCCAAAAATATTTAAATAAATGTTATTCTATTATTGTTTAACAGCACGATTAATCGTGATTAATTTTTTTAATCGCTTGACAGCCCTAATATATAAAAACCATTGTGTGGTCCGACGGTGACATCTCAGAATATGTGATTTTGAGCATAATCGTTTTCCTTTGATTCCAAAGTTCACTGGAGTTGGCTGTCCTATTGCACCTGTACTAATACTTGAAATCCATTCTCATCAGAAGTTACATAATTGTTGTTGATTCTGGTCAAGTCCACACACAGTAGTTGTCTGTTTAACTTCTGCCCTCCCACTCCAGAGGTGGCTTTATGGCAGTGGAGAACAAGTGATTAGTTTATATGTGTGCACAAGAGAAGGAATGATTTGGGATCTTTCAGGATGAAAAGTGCTATAAATGTAACATTAGTAAGTTACCGTCTCAATTGTGATTTGCAATATTTTAAAAATGGGGCTTATTTATATCCCTAAGAGTACTTTTACAAAAATAATAAATACTGAAAGTGAGTAGGAGTTTCAAAACGTATTAGTATTGAATTAGGAACTACATTTTACATCTCTAATGCACTGAGATAGGAAGTTAGTTTTCATATAGGATATACCTGTACCTATAATCCTGGACTATCGAGATGCCAAAGGAGCACTCAAGGACAATAAGGCCATTGTGGAGAAACTAAATTAATTCTTTGCTTTGGTCTTCATGGCTGAGTGTGTGAGGAAGATTTCAACACCTGAGCCATTCTTTTTAAGTGACAAATCTGAGGAACTATCTCAGATTGAGGTGTCATTAGGGGAGGTTTTGGAACATATTGATAAATTAAACAGCAGTAAGTCAAGAGGATCAGATGGTATTCACCCAAGAGTTCTGAAGGAACTCAAATGTGAAATTGCAGAACTACTGACTGAAGTCTGTAACCCATCATTTAAATCAGCTTCTGTACCAAATAACTGGAGGACAGCTAATGCAATGCCAATTTTTTTTTTAAAAAAGGGCTCCAGAGGTGATCCTGGCAATTACAGGCCAGTAAGCCTGACTTCAGTACCAGGCAAATTGGTTGAAACTATAGTAAAGAACAGAATTGTCAGAGACACAGATGAGCATAATTTGTTGGGGAATTGTCAACATGGTTTTTGTAAAGGGAAATCATGCCTCACCAATTTGCTAAAATTCTTTGAGGGGGTCAACAAGCCTGTGGACAAGGGGGATCCAGTGGATATAGTGTACTTAGTTTTTCGGAAAGCCTTTGACAAGGTCCCTCACCAAAGGCTTCTAAGCAATGTAAACTGTCAGGGAATAAGAGGGAAGGTCCTCTCATGGATTGTTAACTGGTTAAAAGATAGGAAACCAAGGGTAGGAATAAATGGTCAGTTTCCATAATGGAGAGAGATAAATAGTGGTGTCTCCCAGAGGTCTGCACTGGGACCAGTCCTATTCAATATATTCATAAATGATCTGGAGAAAGGGGTAAACAGTGAGGTGGCGAAATTTGGGGTATAGAATGGCTTCCGTATGAGGAGAGATTAATAAGAATGGGACTTTTCTGCTTGGAAAAGAGGCGACTAAGGGGGGATACGATGGAGGTCTATAAAATCATGAGTGGTATAGAGAAAGTAAATAAGGAAGTGTTATTTACTCCTTCTCATAATAGAAGAACAAGGGGCCACCAAATGAAATTAATAGGAAGCAGGTTTAAAACAAACACAAGAAAGTATTTTTTCACGCAACGCACTGTCAACCTCTGGAACTCCTTGACAGAGGGTGTTGTGAAGGCCAATACTATAACAGGGTTCAAAAGGGAGCTAGATAGATTCATGGAAGATAGGGCTATCAATGGCTATTAGCCAGGATGGGCAGGAATGGTGTCCCTAGCCTCTGTTTGCCAGAAGCTGGGATTGGGTGACAGGGCATGGATCACTTGATGATAACCTGTCTGTTCATTCCCTTTGGGGCACCTGCCATTGGCCACTGTCAGAGGACAGGATACTGGGCTTGATGGACCTTTGGTCTGACCCAGTATGGCCGTTCTTATTTTCTTATGGTGTGAGGTTTTTATTTCCTCTCTCTGTGGTAGTCTGAAACAATGTTTTCAGATAACTATTGTCTGACTGCATATTATTTTCAGGTACTCTCAAGTTTTTAGCTTCAATTGGATTACCATGTGTAATGGCTTTTCAAAAATATAATCCTAATACCAGTATTGTAGATTTTTAAGAAACTAGAATATCTATTATTTGGACACTTACAATTTATTTGAAAAGCGTTTAGTCACGTTTTAATTGGAAATGGACTTTGTTTATAGTAGATTTTTAATCTTAACAATTTAATTTTAACAATTTTTAATGCTTATTTTGCTTATAAGGAAATTAGTTTAATTTTTCACATTAGTTTTACATGGTGGACAGAAGAAACATTAGTCCTTACTAAGCTTTCATTGTAATCGGGTAAAACAGATACACACATACACTGTTGTAAGAATGTTAAGTTTGGCAAACTCAAAAAGATGATTTGTTTGAAGTGCTTCTTATGGACACACGACTAAGTCATATTAGACAAATGTACTTAGTTACTGCTTCAAGATATGTTATCATCTGGCAAATGAATGGATGGGCTGGTTAAAGAGCATAGGCAATTGGCTAAATGATAAACAGATGATGGTGGGGAAGTGCTTAGATTATCTCCCCCCCCCCCCCCCCCAGCCATATCTGCTGTGGGGATTCTAGTCATTGGTGATCAGTCACTGGGTTAATCACACTTGTGCAAATCTCTAATATAGAAGAAACAACGAGGAGTCCTTGTGGCACCTTAGAAACTAACATGTATATAGAAGAGTTATCTTACAGTAGGGGTTTGTATAGTTGCAGCTGCACCAGTGGTTGGACACTGGTGGCTGAAATCAGGGAAAATCCCTAGTGGTTTATCTGAGAGAGATCTCTGCTGGATTTGGAAATGGACTGGAAGTAAGTAAAATTTTGAGTTTGGGAGTAATGTTTAATGTTTCTGGAAAGAGGCTAGAGAAGCCGCCACATTTTAGAGTTTTGGATGAAAAGAATAAATGCATATAATAGCATTATTACCTTTTGTAATAAAGTTAAAAAAGGCAATACTATTTTTTTATGCAGCAATAGCATTAACAAGACTAGAAAATTAGGAAAATGACATTTTCTGTGACAAAAGAAACTCAGAAGCACAGTGAAAAGTAGGCTTTTCGGGGACTTACAGATCAGGAAACTGGAAATAACTTTTTTATATTTTTAAGCCACTGGTTAGCATCTTGGCCAGGTAAGTAGTGAGAAAGTTGTTACCATTTAGCGGCTTTGTGGGAAATGAATTGGTGGTTTGTCCATTTTCTAATGGGTTAATAGTCATCCTTATTAGGAGCTTTGGCAGAGAAGCCAAGGCTAAAATGGGCAGCTGAGTTGTTGTCATTCCATGGCAGTGCTGAGATATTTCAGTAGGGCACTAAAGAAGCTTGCACTAGTGCTGTACCAGTCTGTGACTACATAGGATTTATTTGTTCAGCTTTCCTTAGTGCTTCATTTGCCTGAAAGATTTGTAAACAAAAGTATATCTATTTGTTGCTGACTTAGAAAAAGTCTGGGAGATACAATTTACCAATATTATTTAGTATCATAAATGTCTATGGTGTAAGTGGGTAATTGAAAGGCAGATTTCATGACCTGAAAAGTTTATCATCTAAAATAAATGATTAAAACCTGGGAGGAAGGGAGGACAAGGATTATGGCAACAAGATATTGTGTTTGCTTTGGTTTGTAAATATTATTGAGGGCCTAGAATATTTTTTGCAGTGTATGTATGAATTTGTTTCTCCGCTGGGAAGGCTAAAGTTTGTAATCTTCATGGAAAAATGTATTTCAAGAAGATGAAGGCTAGAATAGTTATTCTTCCAGTATGTTTTAATCTAAAAATGTTTAACATTAAATGGACACCATGAATTTGAAATCTACTGACTTCTAAAACCAGAATTAAAAGTAGTTTGTTACTATCCCAATTTCTGAATCCCCTGCTGATTTTTGTGTTATGATAATTTTCCTACATTAAAAATATTTTTCATTGCTTTTTTGCTGTATGAAAGATTTCACAAATAAAGGGGAAACTGACTATGCCAGGCAGATAGCGAAACCTACTTATATGCATATTGCTGTCAAATACACAAAGAAAACAAACTGATCTTTGGTTACAGGAATTTTAGAGGTTGCTTGTAACAGTAGTAGATAAAACATTTAGACATAATGTTTAAGTTGATAGTATTCCTTTAAATTTAATGTACTTTGATCTCTGAATAGTGGAATTGGCACCAGAGCACGCCTACTCTTATCTACCCCAGTAATTTTCCTAAGAATTCTTTACTATGTGTAATCATCTATATGGGGTGAATATTTAAAATGGAAATTTTTGTATATTCTACAGAAATATCGGTGTCAGGATGAAGATACACCTCCACAAGAGCATAGCACCAATGAGGTGACTGGTCCAGAGTTGGTTCATGTATCAGAGAAGAACCTATCACAGATTGAAAATATACATGGATTTGTTTCCCACTCTCACATTTCACCAGTGAAGGTAGGGATTTTTTTTAATGTAAACTATTTTTAATAGGTGTTTGAGACAATGAATTATTGCTTTAACAAACTTATGGTATTTTGGAAAATAGGTCTTGTTTGACAAACCTGATTTTTTTAAAAGAGATTACAGATTTAGCTGATAAAGGTAACTATGTTGAAATAATATACTTAGACTTTTGTAAAGTGTTCGACTTAGTAACATAACATGCTGAGTGAAAAAATTATTAAAAACAAAACAATATCAGTAAACACATGTTAATAGGATCAAGAACTGGCTAACTGACAGATCTCAAAAAGCAGTTGTCATTGGAAAATCATCACTGAATGGGAGTGTTTCTAGTGAGTTTCCCTAGGAATCAGTTCTAGGCCTGATGCTGTTCAATGTTTTTATCAGTGTTGTGCAAATAAATATAAAATCATTGGTCATAAAATTTGTGGATTGTGCAAAGATTGGTAGCCTGGTTAATAATGCTGAGGAGAGGGCAGTAGCACAGAAGCACAGAATGATCTGGATCACTTGGTAAGCAGGGCCCTTTCAAACAAAAGGGCATTTTATAACAGCCAAATGCAAAGTTGTATACACCTCTACCTCGATATAACGCTGTCCTCGGGAGCCAAAAAAATCTTACCGCATTATAGGTGAAATGGCTTTATATTGAACTTGCTTTGATCCACCGGAGTGCGCAGCCCCACCCGCCCTGGAGCACTGCTTTACCGTGTTATAGCCGAATTCGTGTTATATCGGGTCGCGTTATATCGTGGTAGAGGTGTATGTAGGAACAGTGAATGCAGGCTGTACCTACAGAATGGGGGACTAGCACGGAAACTAGTGACTCGAAAAAGATTTAGAGGTCATAATGGACAGAAAACTGAAAATGAGCTGCCATCGTCGTGCTGTGGCAAAAAGGACTATTATGCAATCCTTTGGTATGAACAGGGAGTAGTCAGTATGAGTAAGGAGGTGATTTTACCTTTTTATATGGCATTGGTGAGACCAGTATTGGAATACTATGTGTGGTTCAGGTGTCCACATTTTTAAAAGGAAGTTGCAAAACTGGTGCAGGGAAGGGGCATAAAAATGATTCAAGGGCTGGAAAAAATACTTTGAGAGATTTAAGTTGCTCAGTTTGTTTAGATTATCAAAAAGGAGATTAAGTGACTTCATTACAGTGAATAATTTATTTTAGGGGGGAGAAAATACCATGTGCTAAACAGCTATTTAACTTAACAGAGAAAGATGTTAAAAGAACCAATGGCTGGAAATTAAATCTAGACAAATTCAAGTTAGAAATAGTGCACAAATTTTTCAGTGAGTTTGATAAACTATTGAAACAAACTACTGCAGGAAGTGGTGGATTCTCCATCTTGAAGTCTTCAAATCAAGATTGTCTGTCTTTCTAGAAGATATACTGCTGTCAAACACAAGTTATTGGACTCCATACGGGGATTACTGTGATATTCTCCGGCCTGTGATCAACCTGATGTCAGCATCCATCATAGAATCATAGAATGTCAGGGTTGGAAGGGACCTCAGGGGGTCATCTAGTCCAACCCCCTGCTCAAAGCAGGACCAATCCCCAGACAGATTTTTGCTCCAGATCCTTAAATGGCCCCCTCAAGGATTGAATTTACAACCCTGGGTTTAGCAGGCCAATGCTCAAACCACTGAGCTATCCCTCCCCACCTGCATGTTAAGTTTTCAAACAAGCACCTTCATGCTTTCTCCCATGCTGCCCCTCACACTTGAGAGGAGCTCCCTGTAAATATCTGCAGAACAAACTTAGTATCCTCCTTGAAAACCCTCTGTAAAACTCTGCTTTGTCCTGAAGACTACAAAATATTTGACAGTGGCTAGGCAGTTGGTGTTCTTAGACCACTGCCTATCATGCTGGTCAATGTTGTCTCGTTTTCTTGTATTCCCCGATTAGTTGGTCTGTATCCATCTGTTGTCTCATGTTATGTAATCTGTTTGAGGCAGGAGCTGCCTTTATGGTCTGTATTTGTACAACACCTAGCAGAATGGGGTCCTAGTCCATGGCTGGGGCTCCAAGGTGTTATGATGATACAAATAACAATAATTAGTTTAAAAAAGCCTGTGCTGTCCCACAGTTGTGGCGGATGGGCCAAGTAATGCACCATCTGTAAAGTCTCCCTCATAAAACCAGTGAAATTCTCGCAACCAAACTGGAAGTAGAGTGTAAGGGTGAAGACAGGTTGAGTTACCTCTGATATCAAAACAGTCTAGTGCTGTTGGCATGGTATAGATACACCTTGGTGACAGCAAGGCATGTCATTTGTAAAGTAAAAAATAGTTGAGAATTTAAAAATTGGATGGTAACAGACCATGAATCCCAGTGATAATTAAACCTGGTGATATTCTGAACAGAAAGAGTTCCCAACCATGGTTGTAGTTTCCGTTGCTTAGCAAACATTATAGCCAATAGGCAGACCATGGGCCAAATCCGGACTGCCACACGCTTTTGAATGGACTACAAAATCTTTTTATTTACTTATTATTGTTATTACAGTGTGAAATACATTTCTCTGGAGTCTGGACCTTGAGTATACTTTGACCAAGAAATTTGGACCTTGACAAAAAATAATTGACTACCTCTGAATTATAGGCTTCAAAGAAACAATCTTTAGATAACAGGAAGTTCAAGTAGATGATCTAATGGTCCTATCTGGCATCACAGTCTCTAAATCTATTACTTTTCTGAGCCTAGAAATTTTTGATAGAGGTGATAGTATTGAAACTTAATCTCTTGATTGTCATGACCCCGAACTATTGTGTAAGTCAAACCTTTCTGTGCATTTCCTGAAACAGGAGGCATACAACTTAATCCTTAAGGCTATATTATTGTCCTTTTTGAAGGAAACTAGAGTGCATTCCCAGGGCGTACAGCCTCCCTTTCATTCTTCAGAGCTAATGGCATTTCACTCATGTTTATAGATTCAGACACATAGGACTATGCTTGCAATGCAATGTGCAGGGAATTAGACATGTAATTCTCAAACAGTAATGTATTATGTATCCAGTTTTGTGTGTACCACATTAATAAAATAAAAAAAAAAAGTCTAGAAGCCAACAAACAAGATGGTAGCTTAAGAACAACTCCTACACAGAGGGAAAATATATTTTAATTAAAGAGTTCTTGAAAGATAAATTTCTTACCCTACCCCAGTGATTCCTAACTAAGGGTACGTGTACCCCTCGGGGTATACAGATATCTTCCAGGGGGTACATCAACTCATCTAGATATTTGCCTAGTTTTACAACAGACTACAAAAAAAGTACTAGCAAAGTCAGTACAAACTAAAATTTCATACAGACAATGACTTTACATTAATTCTGCATTTGTAAGTTTAACTTTCATTATAAAGAGAGAGCACTACAGGACTTGTATTAGGAGAATTGAAAAATATTATTTCTTTTGTTTTTTATAGTGCAAATATTTGTAATAAAAAAAAAATATAAAGTGAGCACTGTACACTTTGTATTCTGTGTTGTAATAGAAATCAATATATTTGAAAATGTAGAAAAAACCCAAATTATTTAATAAATTTCAATTAGTATTCTATTGTTTAAACAGTGCGATTAATCGCGATTAATTTTTTAAATTGTGGTTAATTTTTTGGAGTTAATCACTTGAGTTAACTGCGATTAATCGAGAGCCCTACCTATAAATGGATATTGGAGTAGTTTGAAACTGTGTCAATTCTGAGGATGATGTGGCAGCTCTTGATAGGCAAATTGCTGCAGAGAAAGGTGAAATTGTAATTAAGAATTTAAAATCCAATAAATCTTCAGTTCCCAATGGACTTTCTGGAGAATATTATAGAGCTCTAATCCAAGTGTTGGTCCCTATTTTAACTGAATTGCTTAATGGCATATTGCAGGGGAATGAGATTCCAGATTCATGGAAAGAAGTAAAATTGGTGGTAATTCCTAAAGAAGGATAAGCCCTTACCAACTGTGCATCATACAGAACTATAAGGTGCTAGCAAACACCCGAGTTTCAACTTGCCCAGATGTGTTCACCTGTCTGGGTTCCTTGCTGGCAGGGCAGGCAGGCATCTGTCTGATAATATCAGAAGAACTTTGATTTTGCTCTGTAATGTTAATTCCAGCTGCTTTCTTTGGATGCTGAGAAAGCCTTCAACTGGGATTAGGAGTATTTCAGACAGTTTTTGGTAAAGTTTGGTTTTGGAAGTCAGTTTTCTATGTGCATATTGACTCTGTGTATTCATCGTCAAGCATCTGATTTGATTAATAGTGATCAATCCCCTCCTTTTAAATTGTCTACTGGTTCAAGACAGGGTTGGCCCTTATTCCCCCTGTTGTTTACTTTGACAATGGAGCCATCTGCAATAAATGTGACAAACAACCCCTTGGTAAAGGGCATCAAATTACCTTCTAGATTAGAACACAAAATAGCTATGGATGCTGGCAATGCCTTGTATATTTGCAGGATCCAGAAGACTTGTTAAAAAATATAGAATAAACGGATTAAAAAGAAATGTAGGTCACCAACAATAAAAAGTCACCCATTCACCCATACCACCTTAGTAGCTTTGGACAGATGTTTTAAATTGCTGTCGCTGAAGCCCTCTCTCCTAACTACTTTCATTAATTAGGAATTTATCCCTAGGAAATATCAAAGTGACTTAGTTGTGGGTAAGAGCTGAGTTTACTCAGTTTGGACAGCTCCTTCTATGTCCTGAGCTGAACTCATACCAAGAGATATGTAATAATGTAAGTAGTACAAAAATCACGCATTTTCAGTATTTACAAGTCAAACATTTATTGTGGCCTCTGGATACAAGATGGCTCTATCTAGACCTTCAACCACATTTGAGGAGTTGACTCAGGTGTAAGTTGGAACAAAGGTTTAATTTCTAAGAGAAATACAATTTTGTTTGAAAAAGGTGTTAAGAAATTAATCCAGATGAAAAGATGGGGGAGGGAATTTGACAAAGAAATTGATCTGGATAAAT